CGTATTCGCAACGACGTGATCGGCAATAAGCGAGCGAGCGCGGGCAAGAAGAAACGGTCGCGCATCCGCCACGACCGACAGACAGACAGACAGACGGGGTATCGGCCGACCTGGAACAGTCTCTCACGGCCAGCAGGCCAATTAACTGTTATTATCAGCCGGTTCTTGCGTGTAAACAGAGGCTGGCCTATGTGTTAGGCGCATAGACGCTCCCTTGGAACCGCTACTGTCTCTCCTGTCGACGAAAGGATTAATTTGAGCGAGAGGATTAATTTGAGCGAGAGGATCGATTTGGTTCGAGGATAGCTTTGGACGATGACGGTGAATGGAATTGCAACGATCGAAACGGTGAATTTATCCCGATTTTTGAGAATATCGATCGATCGATGGGAGAGAGAAATTTGAGAATCTTTTGTTTGATGATGTTTGTTTGGGATATAGGTTCTTAGAATGGAGTGGTTCGATAGTTTGAAAAGTGGTTCGAGGATACTGATAGATTTGAGGATCTTTGGGAAATGTTTGAAGATGTTTGAAGATGTTTGAAGCTCTTAGAATGGAAATTTGATAATTTGGAAATCTGTGAATGGTAGATAATGATTGGATCCGAATGAAGAAATTTTGAAGAATGAAGGAGAATTGATAATTAGATCTAAAATGCAAAAAAAAAAAAAAAAAAAACAGTACTCGGATCGAACAACTCTTGTATCTCCTTGTTGAAGAATTGTCTAACTTGTATCGAAGACAGTGAAACCGTCTAATACAACTTTTTACAGGAGTATCGTTTTAAGAAAGAAGTTTTAGTTTCAGTAACAACGTACAAACATATGGGGATACAATGATACCGATGGATGTTTTTTTACCCACCATCTGTTCAAGCTAGTTGTCCATGCTCGTGTTGCGGATCATTGGTCTCTAACCGTTTCTTTTTATTCGATCAGCTGACCGCATTAGTGTCCACTGGAAGCAATTTATATGCGCTTTACGAGGACTACTTTTTCTCCCGTAGAACAATGTGATCATCGAAATAGAAGAATATCAACTCGATCCAACCTTTTCTCTTAAATTTTGCCTTAAAGAAATGTATGACTTTTCGCAATGAAAATCAAATTACAAACCGCGCTGCTTCTAACTTCTTCTTATTCACGATCGTGCAATTTATACGAATATGATCAACGATTTCAATAAGGAATCGAAGAATCGAATTTCCTTAATTCCTAAACATTATCGTCACTCGATCGCCACTTAAAACACGTCCATTCGTTCACGGAAAATAAACTTATTCGAGATCAAATGCACGCAAAAATAAGTGAAAAATAAGAAAAGAAGACTAGGAAGAATCAAAACGCTCACATTTCCTTCATTCCAAATCGCCGCCCAATTACGAAACGAAGTTTACGTAACGACGTCTATTCCAAACCAAATTACTCGTAAAAATTAACTCAAGTAACTGAAAAAAAAAAAGAAGAAGAAGAAGAAAAAAGGAAAGGAGGAAGAATCGGAAGACACAAGGCCAATCACCGTCTAATAACTCTCTAGAAACGAACGCGCCTCTCCAATTGCTATCGCGATGGATTACGTAATCGTCCACCTTGACAGCGATATTAGATTGAATCTATGGTACAAGGCCGTCGCCCCGGTCGTGTACTCACTCGTTATTTCATAAATATCGCCGAGATAACATCCTCCAGGAGGCCGTGAAACGTGTATATATTCGTATATACACGTAACGAACCCTGTGCTCGTGCCTCTTTTCTCTCTTCTCCCCTGCTCCCCGATTCGACCAACCAACGTCATTGCCGCGTGTAAAACGTCGTAAAAAAACTAATAGATTCGGTACCTAGGACTACGTGAATCAACGGTCGATCGACGACCAAACGATAAATTTCCCTCGAGTTGGCCGGCTTACTAGGTTTCGAATCGAGTCGGTATACAGCTTTCACCCGGCGAGTATTTAACGTTATGACCATGAGAGGAGATTTCGTGATCGAGCTGATTAATATACCTTCCCCCTCGAGTACTTTATTCGAGTAATTGTTAATCGTAACGTCAAAGATTATTATTCGAAGGACAATAAGTTTATTACTATAAGTAGGTGATGAATAAATTGATCGAAGTAATTTCATTCGAAATTTTTAATTTTTAAGCGATGCTTGCGATGGATGGTTAAGTGGTAATGTCTTGTTTTGTAATGATATTTTCGAAGAGGTTATCGTAGAAAAATAGGATTGATTAGGAGAGAGATGGGGAAAATTTTTCAATAGAAGATAGTTTCAAAGTTATCTTTAAACCTTTTGGATGTTTCTATAAAATTACAAAAAAAAATATTTTTAATTCCAAAATTCCTTTTTCGATTGAAGATCGAGAAAAAAAAACGATACTATTCGAATTCAAAAATATCGTGATACCATAAAGATACGAGGAGGACTATTCATCGAGTCGTAGTTTATTCGTCTTTAATCCATCTTATGAAAAAGATTCGTATTTAAATATTTGCATTAATATACGATACGTTAAAAAAAAAAAAAAGAAAAAAGTGTATGCGTATCTGAAATACAATTTCAAACATATATACATATATATATATATGTACTTGAAATAATACGAATTCCAAGATACCATTAATCAACGCGCTGTAAAATTGCATTCGTGGAAAAAAAAAAAAAGAAAAGAAAAAAAATAACTTATCTCGTTGTCTATACTCGAGGCGATGACGAGTGAAACTCGAATATTAATCGGATGACTCACGATGTTGTTAATTATGTTAATGGACGTGGTGGATCGTAAATGACATGGCGAGTCTGAAAGAGCGAATAATGCAAGAAGAGGCGATTGGGCCCTGGGTCAATTTAACCTGATTCCGCTTGGAAAGCGCCATAAAACCGTCAACACGTGGGAAATTCCGAACGACGTCGTTAACGGGATGGCGCACACCACTTGTTTAAAAGGCGGCGGCAACTTTCTGCGCTTCTGACTCCCTCCTTCATCGCGTCTTTCTCTGCCTACCCCTTTTTAATACGACGCTTTAATGGTGGAATTAACCTGCAAGAAACGCAATTTTACATGTCAAAGGATAGATATATTTAATCAGGGATAATCAGCGATGAAAGAAACGACCGACTCGAGACTCGAGTCGTGGAAAATGTGACGAAGAAAGAGAATCTTATATTTTCGATTATCACTGCTTTTTTTTTTTCTGTGAAGTGAAAATGAATTGAAACGTTGAATTTTAAGATCGAACGAATATATTAAGAATACATATGTACATTTTGATCAAATTTTATGAGATTGGATATTAAACAAAATTTTCTTTCAATAAAAATTAAGACGATCCTGATTGATTTAGAATATAACCATAAATTATTCCATAGGATCTCTTATATCATAATCTTCAGATGATTCTAGATCAAGAGAGTCTAGCTTCTACTCGAATTTTAAAAATAAAAATCCGACGCAATAAGAAATCAACCACCCACTTATCGAACCACCCACTTTAAACTCTACTTGGAATAAAACTCTCCAAGCGAACCCGATCGATCACAATCATTTGACAATCCCCAAAGATCGCAACAAGCGATCTTGGATTTGTCCACTTTCGAATCCGCGATCGCGTCGACGCGATTAAAAGCGAGAAATGAAAGTAAATATTACACATGCATACGAAACGTATTTACACGTTCCCTGAATTTTCGTGACGAATAAGGATCACTTGCTGCGATGCCTTCGCTAGAAAGTCGAGTGATATTTTGATCTTTGTCCAGTTTCGTGCAAAGGAAAGAGAGAGAGAGAGAGAGAAAAAAGATATTCGACGGACACCTAGGGGATTAATTATTCGAGTCGACTTCTGGCCGGGACTGGTCTCTGCGGACCGATTAGCCGGGATTTTTGTCGCGAGGCGATTAGCATTCGAAAATGTTACGCCGCCGTTACGACACGCGGCCGGGTGTGCAATATATAAATTTCCGTGACGCGAATCGGCGAACCGTGGATCGATAAAACGGCAATTTTCTGGACGCAGCAACGCTCCTCGAGAGGCGATGATCGAGAAGCTTTGGGGCGGTGAGATTCGGGCGAGATAGGTTTAATGAACGACTTTTAGGGGCCGTTAATGGGGCGTTAGTTACTTAAAATGTTAAAGCCAGAGAGATATTTCGTAATTTACATCGTCGATAAGGTGAATGATTGTGTAACTTGCTATTTATTTATGCAAAGCTTTCGTGGATGTTTTCCAATCCTCTGGTGATGATAATCTTCTCCATCGAACGAATCGTACCCTTGTCAACTTGAAAGAATCGTGGCTGTGTTGAATCTTAACAAGGGGTTGAAAGTTGTATTTTCTATTCTGAAAAATATCCTTGAACTTCATCCTTTGATCCGTTCGCGTGAACAGAGATTTTGAGCAATTGTTATAAATTTTTGCCCAAGGAAAGTTGAATATATCGAGAAAACGAAGAAAATGGTGATTATTTAAAAGTTGGAACGATGGATACGTTGTTACAAGAGCGTTTTTTACAGAAGGAGAGAAAGTGTTGCCAGAAAAGTCTGTCGATAAATCTTCGCGAAAACTTCCTTACAATGTGTCTAGGACTTTTCGCTTATGGTACCCGCATTCGTGCTCCGCAGACGGTCGAGCGTTAATAAAAAGAAAAGTCTAGGTGAGAAGAATTAAAAAAAAAAAAAAAAAGCAAGTACCATAATTGAAACTCGTCGTCTCGTCCAGTTTCTTTTGAATATTCCAATTACGAACGATAGCAGGATAGCAATAATAGTTCGTCACGTACGTTGGCGGTTGAAGCTCGCAAAAACCGATATTGATATTTAATAATATATTATCCTACGTTAGTGTATCTATTCGAAACCAATGATCATAAATTCTTCCACGTTCTCTGTACCACGCTTTCTTATTCCATCTCGAAATATCTCAAATACCACTTTCTATTTCCAAATCCACCATTCAATCCCGTCATCAAACACACTCACCCCTTTATTCTTGTTTGCCCCAGGTGCAGGAGGGGCCAGTGTCTCCGGCATCCTCCTCGCTGAGCAACCAGAATCAAAACGAGAGCGAGCAGCAGGTATTACTGGCGACGATGCAGCCTGTGAACGTTCTAGACCTGCACGAGCCAGCTACAGTTCACTCGCTCCATCCCAAGTACCATCATCACCACCACCGCCATCACCACCATCACCACCATCACCATCATCAACAGCAACAGCACATCCAGCCGGATCCGGACGACGTGCAACAAAGAGGCGACGATCCAGATGGTAGAGTGACGCCTGGCGCCGACCCAGCCGCCGCCAACACGACGCTGGGCGTCGGCGAGCACAAGATGATCGATCTGATCTACAACGACGGCCAGAAGACCGTCATGTACACCCACGACAAGGAGATCATTTACGAAAACGAAGCGGATCGCGTCCAGGTGGTCGAGTATCCACCCCCGCCGCCCTCACCGCCATCCCCATCGCCACCCTCCGCGGTCACCAGAGCTGGACTACTGCCACCCGCCTGCGTCACGCCCAGATCCGGCTCCGCGACGGCGTTGCACCTTCACCATTATCCCCAACTGCAGTTGCAACACGAGGATGACCTTCCACCAGGTGTTCGCCACGCGGTCAACGCCACCGTACCGAATTGTGGCGCGGCTACGACGACCACTACCGTGTTGGTGCTCTCGGAATTGGTCGCTGCAGACCCCGCCGCTGGTGCTGCCGCTGCCCAACAACTCACCCTCACTGCCGCCGCCGCCGCTGCCTCCCTTCGTGCTGGGTAAGTTTTTCCTTATTCTTCTAAGAGGGTGTTCGATACCCTCGAAGTATATCGCGAAGTATATCAGGATCGAACAGTGTACAGTGTCGTATTGTTTCACGATGCGAGGTCGGAGTCCGTGGCGGGCGACCCCGGCTCGGCCCGGGGTCTACATACCCTTCGCCAAGGCGTTCTCTTAATATTATAATTCTCCATGTTATTCACCAATCCACTTCATATATTTTTATTATTTATCGCTCGAAATTCGTTATATTTCCGTTACAAAAATATTATAGACAGCTAATATCGTAGGTTACGTTAATTTATGAAATTAGAATTCGAACGATGTTTTGAAGGGACAATTTCGAGAAAGATCAAGGATCAGAATTCGAGAAACGTTCGAGAGAAAACGCAAGCGTGATCGACAACGGAACGAATCGTGCATAGAGTCATTTAACGAGTCGGAAAAATGAAATTACGCGGCATGGAACTAGGGAGGGGAATCGCGAGCGACCGTTTCGAGGCGGCTAAGTACGAGAAAACGTACTGATTGTGTCGCGCTTTAATAAGCCGTAAAATAGCCGAGGAAAGTGTGTCTGCACGGACACAGTAGCCTGTTCGCGGCCACGGAAAAATCGAACGGCCCTCTTGCGCGCGCGCGCGCGTGCATACGAGAAAGCACGTTGAAACGCCGCGCGTTATCGGCCTCGTGTATCAGCGTCGACAATTAACAATTATTGCGCACACCTACCCGCGAGCATGTTCGCGGATAAGTCACGTTGCTGCCTAGAATTTATTATTAGGACGCCGTGTTCTATACGCATATACAGCATCACGCAGACACGGTGTGCCCTGCAAGGACGTTCGCTGATCGATAGTTCTGCTGTTCGACTTGTCACAGTTATTATTTAATCCTCTTTTGTGCTCCGTGAAATTGTTTCTTTTTTTTTTTTTTTTTGAAAATTTATGGTTTATTCATAGGCGTTTGATCGATTAGGTTCGATCGAGTTTCGTTTACGTTCGACGTAAACAGTGCATTTAAAATTGAAAACTCGTGCTGGCATCTGTCTCTGAGATTTATATTTTCAAATCTATTTTGCAAATTTAATTTCTCAAAGTTCGCTTCGAATATAAATTATACACAATGTCCATTTGAAAAATCTAGATTTTGCATTCTGTTAATCGATTGACGATTGACTATTCGACAAGATGACAAATAAATATCATGATTAATTGATAATTCTCGTTTCATCGATTCATCGATACGTGGAAAATAAAACTATATTTGTTGTTCTCTCTGTTGTTTATAAGTTCCTGATGAAAAAAACTGCTCAACATATTCATGAAAATCGCCCACGGATTTCTTCCCCCCACGGTATCACGTACATACGGCGCACGTGTAAGATCGCCAAGTACAATAATCCACGCGCTACACATGTGCGCGAAATATTCTCAAAACGCAATTAAGATCTCGATCGGCTAATTTGTAACGTTTCTCTATCGAGCTCGTATCTCCATATATTCTCCGTGAAACCGCATTGAAATTGCTCGAGAACAATGTTATATCTCAGTATATTTAAAAATGACATTCTTCCATATTATACACCATACGTTTGTGCGATCAATCGTGATACAATAAATAACTAAAAAAAAAAAGAAAAATTAAATAAAACGAAAAAGGAAAATACAAATATTGCGATAGAATTGGAATACTAAATCCTCTTACGTTTATTTAATTCTATTAGATTTGAGATAGAATGATAGGATTTTTCAAAATGATATTCACTGTTCCTTATAAAAACAAAAAATAAATAAAAACTACACAAAAAAAATATATAATTTAAAATGCATCTTTAATCAAATACTAAATTTTTATTACGAACGAAAAACGTTCTATGACTTTTTTTAGTAGAAATATATATAGCTATATATATGTATAATATATATATATAAAAAGAAAAGGAAAGAAAGAAGAAGAATCGAACAAATTCACAATGCATCGCATCTTTAGAAACAGCTTGTACACGCACATACATCACGAAGTATCGTGAACCAATAACCATTAAACGCGCACACACCTTGCTCTTTTGCAATAAATAAAAATCAACTGCAATTAATCGGCTGTAAGATATGCACGTGGAGACCTTGGGGGCCTTCGAAAACAACCGTGTCTCTTTCTCTCCCCACTTTTTCCTCTCTCTCTCGTCTTTCCATCTCTCTCTTTCTTTCTTTTTCTCCTCTCTGCCTTTCTGTCCCTCTTTTTACCATTTATTTTTCACTCCGCCGATTATTATAAATAGAAATATATTCCTTTCTTCTTCGTTTCTTTCGTGCCACCATTCTTTTTTTTACAACGAGGTTCCGTCTCGTGGACAGAAATCGAAAAGAAATTCTCTCGTTGTTTTACGCGATGGTTCGAGGAGGGGGAAAAAAAGTAATAGTTTAATACGAGATCTTCGAAAAATAATTTTCGAACTTCCTTTCACTTTGATCACAGATCTCGTTGATACACGCGAAGGAATCCATATTTCTTTATTACGTATTAAAATTTTAAATATTTGACAGGCTCATTACCGATCTCGCTTTATTTTCATTAAAATTATCGAGTTGCGATTATTAATGCGAATTATCTTCACCGTTTCGGGATTCTCTTAATTCACGTCCTACATTCCAATTATGCAGAGATACGTATACTAAAAGCACGTGTTGATTCCGATTCAAGACGCGCGCAGTAAATGTGTTTATTTGTCAAAGATTACCGCATGAATATTTATATAATACGCCAATATTTATTGATATATAAACACACAGATCGCTGCATTTCCTGTTGTTTTTACTATTCTAGCCAATGCTTGCCTTTTTTTTATTTCTCGAATAATTTCCATTCGTTATTAAATTTCTTACTATGACGAATTATTATTCGAATTATCTAATTGTTTCTTGAACTTAACGGAATAGAATCGAGTCATGTTTATTTATCGAATCCCAGTATTGAAAAATTATGTTTTTGTCCACTTGGATCAAATTAATCCACAATATCAAATAATAAATATATTCAGTTCAAAAATTCATTAATCAATATCCATTGAATCGATAATTAAATCTTTAAATAGGATTCAATCGCGTCGTTACAGCGATCTAATTATCTCTAACTTAACTTCACGAAAGCTCACGTAACGTATCTTACGATATCTTAAAGAAATATGCTTTACTCGAAAATCTCACAATACAACGCGCGAAGAACGATCAACCTCTAATCGTCGAGAAGGAGGTAATCAGATTATAAAATCTCGTTGAAGGCTCGATCGTCTCGCCACAGGCCGACGTGGAATCTGTCAGAAGAGCAAAGATCCTTCCCGTATCCGGTCGTAAGCTACTTATTCCGCGGCTTAAACGCGCGCGTTCACGAAATTTGAAGCGGATTTTCGATTCGAGTCGCGGATCAATCGCGCCGATAATCCGCCAGTCAGAGGGAAACAGCGTGGAACAGCGACGAGAGATCTTGCTTCGAACTCTGGGGCGCCATCTGCAACGCTCGGCCACCATTTTGTCCCTGTTTGTTGGCCCTGATCGAAACGAGAAGAGACACGAGAGAAGACTGGCGTCCAATTAAAATCCTCGACTTTATTTATCACACGCATAATTATTGCGTGACGGGGAATATTGATAATTAATGCGCTCATATTTTCGCCACCGTTTGAATATTCATTAGCTTGCAAAAAAAGTCGATGACTTTTGGAATCTTTATGCATATTAACCTCCATTACACTGTGATAAAATGATAAAACTTGGTAATAATATTTGGCTCGTAAACTTTGTTCTTTTTTTTTTTTCCTTTCGTCGTTATTTAAGATTATTTTAATTGCGAAAAAGAAAAAAATTTTGTTCCCCACCAATATTATATTTTGAATATCATATTGGAAAATAAGAAAGGAGTTTGATATATATTATACACTGTGGATATTATTTCCCGAGAGAAATACAACGATTCCGATTTTTTAATTCGGTTCAATTCAGGTATTTCGAAGTTAATCTATTAACCGACAATTATACCGACGATATGTTCGCGATTTCTTCTACAAGATCGCTCCAAGAAGCGGTCGCTCGGTTGAAAAATCCGATAACTAAATTGCGATACGCGGCATAAAATTAAAATACAGAGTAAAAGAGTTGCGAGTATCCCCTTTGCGATGAAATTTGCATATATTTCGCGCGATTCCTCGATTCCACGATGAAATTACGGTGATGGCTTCGACGTTCACGACGAGCGTTTCTCACGCACGAAAAAGAAAAAGAAAAGAGAAGGAAAGGAGAGAGAAAAAAAAAAAAAGAGAGTCGAACCACTTTTCGTAGAAGACATTCTTCTCGTCCAACGAACACGGCGTTTCGCAATGGCGACGGCGAAGATTCGCGTTTTTCTTTCGTCTATCTATTTCGTCGCGTTTTAACGGCAACCTTCTCTCGCGAGATCTCGTTACGATACGTTCCTTTTTCAGTGAGCCAGTAATTAAATTGCAACAGCAATCTCTTTAGGTATTCACATCAAACGAGCAACGTACTACCATATACCCCTTTCTTATTCTCTTCAATATCTCTTACTAAATATCGTAGCCCCTTTCATCATCCCTCTGAACCGATTCTTCGTATCATATTCTTAGAACAAATATATCTTAATCTATAATCTCTGGCCCATTAAATCCCAATAATAATTATTCAAAAATTTCTTCGATTATTAGAAGCGTTCGAAAATCCTCCTCTCCTCCTCGAGAACGAAAAAACTTTCGCCAATTTTCATCGCCGAGACTTTCAAATAACAACAACTCTTCGCTCGCGCTAATAAGGATCGAGAGAGGAGCGAGGAGGAAGAGAGAGGGCGGGGTCCCCCTAGCCAGAAAATGGCCTCCGTTTAATAAATCCTCGGCGGATGGACGCTTGATCCGAAAGAAAAGCGGGACCGCTCGAAGGGGCGCGCTCGTAATCTATGTTAATGCGGCGGAGGTGGGTGAACCGGGCCCGGTAATAATAGTGTTTTCGAGGATGTGACGTCACGCGCCAACAATACAACACAACCGAAGCAAGCTGTGCACGCGCTTTCGGCGGATTATTTATTTGACAGAGCTCCCCGCGGGCCGTTTACGGCCAGGATCGCAACGCTTCGACCCCGGATTCGTTCAACACGATTCTCCTCCATTCCATGGATCCTTTCTCTCCACCATCGCGAAACTAACAATCCTTTTTTCCAGAAGGATCTTTGATTTTCGTCAAGTAGCGTAGTAAATAATAATAAAATGTATCGACTTGAATCGCACAAATTCAAATCTTCCAATAAAAACAACAGTGTTCCTTTAATCGCTACAATTCGATATACAAGTCTTTTCGCCTCCTAACGATAAAAATCGAAAAAAATTCGAAAAATTTCCCGAAAAGAAATAAAAAGTAGAGCGCCTTTTTCCCCGACTTTTAACATACACCTTCTCCCACCGCAACGCGAATCACGAATTTTCGAGTTTTACCATGGAGCCGCGTTTCGTATGCGCGGCAAATTGCCGTAATGACGGTGCACCGCGGTAAAAAGTGTCACGTTCGCGGAAAGCAGAATGTAAGCCGGGCATACGTCCCTCCCTTTCCTTCCCCTCCCTCCCCCCTCTCCCCTCTCTCTCTCGCTCTCTCCTCACGTCCTCGCCGCTTCTTGCACACGGCTCGGAGGTGCCTTTGATCCGTCGCGTTTTCAGCGATCCCTTGCCTCTCCCTTTCGTATACATATATGCGCGGTTCTCGTGTTGTTTTTGCGGGAGGCAGGGGACGCGAGAGGCCGGGACGAACGTCGAGGGGACCGATGTCGAGAAGAAACGATTATATCCCCGGCTCTGGTTCATCGATCGATGAAAAGTATCATCATTTCGGGGGGATGATGGAAGCGATGATCCATGTATTTTAACAGGATTGATTCTCAAAATGTGGATTTTTAATTTTTAATTTCGAATAATTTGGAATAATATTGAAAATAGATCGAGAGGATAATGAGATCGTCGAGTTAATATATTCGGAAAGATTCGAATTTTCGGGTAGTATGTATGATAGATAATGATAGCTTGATTGGTTTGCGTAAACGTTAAATGTAACGAAGAGAGGAGATATATCGATGAAAATAAAGATTCGCGAAAAATGTTAATCACGAACAATCGATCAATCCATATTCAATTTACGATTAAAAATCGTAAAGTAACGTTGTACCGTCTTACAGCCATTTATGGGCCATTCTCGTTTCCTTCCATCCTCCACCTCTCGGGTTAGATAAACTTCGCGCGCCAACGATTTACCGAACCTATTTATTCCTCGTGCAAATAAATTACGCCAATTACGCCCGATGGATAAATATAGCTAAATGGCGATTACGCGCGGTACATTAAAAAAAAAAAAAAAGAAAGAAAGAAAAGAAAAAAGGAACGCGAACCGGTGCAGAGGATCCCCAGGAGATTCTGCAACCGATAATATATGCAAATCAAATTAACATCCCCGCGCGTATAAGTTAATATCCTTTCCTCTCGTGGAAATTATTATTTTTATTCTTTACGATCTTTGCGCCGTGTCGAGACGTGCAACTTAACTTTCTCAAATTCTAACGATGACAACCGATTAACGACGACTCCCAATTCCCACATTATTCTACATCTAATAATAATAATCGTAAACGCGTGTAGTGAAAAAAATGGAGAGAGAAATATTAACCTTAATTGCTATTGTGAAGCCTTTTGAACGTAAGATATTAGAAAAATTTGAATTTTACTTTTCTTGGAAGGGGAAATTTATTTTGTGATTCTAAATTCACTAGTAATAATCGTAAATTAATTGTGTAATAGGTAAGGAAGGAAAAGAGACAAAAAGAAAAAAAAAAAATAGAAAGAATCGCTACTGTGAGGTCTTTTACAATTATCTTTAGGAGCGTATAAATGCGGTATTAAATAAAAAAAAAAAAAAAAAAAAGAAAAAAAAATTGGAATTATCTTGCTGCATAATAATTTCCTGATAATAATTAATTCTCTTTTTACCTCTTATAAAATATAATAAATATTTTTCTCCAACCAACGAAATTATTATTCTTATTGAAATTTCTTTCAAACTCTTGTAAATCCAACATTTTTTCTATTCTAATTTACATATTCGAACAATCAATTTACTTTTTTATCGTTTCCATCTCTGTCAATCATTTAACGAACATTTCAACCTCGTATCATATCGATTAAGCGTTGGAAAAATATTAAAATCCTCCGCCACTTTTCCCGAAAGAACATCGACCAAAACCACTTTTTCCTCTCGTACGAACGTATCGTTGCTTATTACGCTCGTCGGACCGTGACGATCTATCTAGAGCCAATAACGCGCTCTAAAATTAGATATAACGTTTCCCAATATCCTACCCTCTTGCGATCCAGTATTGCCACTGTATCGTAATCATTCACCAATGGAAATCGGGTGACGTAAAGACAAATTCTGTTCGCGATTACGATACGCGATGTAAAGACAGGAAACTAATTCCTCTTCAAAATCTCCTCGTGTATAAATATATATATATATTTCGTTGCATTTACACACAGAAAACTTCTTTTTCATGTTCGAATCTCACATTCAGTATTTGTTTGGATCGAAGTTTGTTTACGCATAATTTCTCCGTTTTTCTTCTTCTTTTTCTGCTTGACTAAGAACGACGTAAGAGGCAAATATGAAGGACAAAAAATTGATATCGATTCCTCTTCAAAATTATATGGATATTCTTTTCTAGACTTGTTTATGCAAAATCAAATATTTATAATCTTTTATAATATCATAATGTATATTTTGGATATATATATATATTTTTCATTAATATATTGCGAGTAATACGTGGAATGAATTCTTGTGCTCGAATAAATATGCAACCGCAATCGAATTATTAATATCAGAAACGTACATTTTTGTACGTGTCTTCTCGAGGAAGATTAATTTTAGTAAAGAGAAACATTTATGTTTGATTCGATGTTTAGAACGTTGGAAAAATAATCCTCCATTGATAATTTGGATCTTTTCAAAGAAATAACGTCTCAAATAAAATTACACGAGACTCTATTCTTTTTCTAATGAATCAAATCTAATTTACTTCTCCCGTATCATTTCAAAATGAATTCGAATTCGACTCGTGGACCAAACTTATTATACGAAGGAAACTAATTCCTCTTCAAAATCTCTCCTTCTTTTTCTATCCTTCGACGTATATTATAAATCCACAATCCGCGTATTCGTGCACATCATGTCGATCGAATTTACGTATCCCAAAACGTAAATTCGAAAAAAAGATTCACGACACTTAACCACAGCACACAATCCTCCCCATCGATGGAAACACGTTCTCACCCCTGTCGCGCTCCCTCCCCTTATACCAAGAGCCGCGACGACGTCCAGCTGGCGATTTCCCAAACGATTTTAATTGTACTTGAAATGGATGCACGTATCCCGTCCCCCCGGCCAGCAAAAGAACTCCAATTAGTCGTCTTGGTGGTGTCCTTATGTTGCCTCAGCCCCGTAAGAACTAATGCCGAAATAAGGGAAGGGAAAGAAGTGGCGCGGTCGGCGAGCGTGCGTGCGTGCGTGCGTGCGTGCGTGCGTGCACGCGGCGCGTGCAAGAAAAATCTCGCTCGATGAGGGGGGGAGAGGAGAGGGAGGGCATTGCGAGCCAAGGGGATACGAGGTACATGCCTGAACGTATTACTCATACCCCGCCGACTCGAATCCTCTCGGCCGTCTCATCCTCGCGCCGGGCAAAGCTGCTCCCGATCGATACCCCGTTCCCCACGATGAACTCTCCTCCGCTAGGCTGAATCGAGATGCGTTTCTTGCCGCCACGATCCCTCGACACGGCGGAAATCTCGATCGTTCGGTCGAACACGTGGGAAAAATTTAGGTTTTTTTTTTCAGCTTTAGCTTGGAAAATAACAGAATGGAGGAGGTAGGTAGGTAGGTAGGTATCTCTCCCAAAGTGGAGAAATTGTTTCGACGCTGTATAAGGGCTGGGTATATCCTGCTACCTAAGTTAAAAGGAGTTAAAAAGGAGTTAAAAAGAGGAAAGGTATTAATTGTTAATTGTCAAGTTGAAAAAGTTAAAGAAAAGAGGAGAAACCTATTCTTTTTTTCTTTTGTTAATTTCGAAGAGAAGGAGAAGGGGATGTTGTTTCAATTGTTGAAATTGAATTGTGACTTGACTAGGAGATTATTCGGTATTTGGAGAGATTAGTGTTATATATATATCGAGGAGATTGATAACGAAAATTTGAAGATAATTAAGTGAGGATCTTTTTGGAAGATTCGATATGTCGATCTTTCAATCTTTCGAGACTAATGAATGTTATCTCTGTTGCAAAGGAAAAAGGAAAAAGGTATCGAGGAAAAGGTAAACTTTTGAAATTATCGATCGACATAGATAGTTCCATAGAAGGCTCGTTTAAAATATTTCGTTCGAGTTGCAAATATAATTGGTCGATAGAACAGATTTCACGTATAACACAATGCATTGGAGTTTCGATTGATTAAACTGATTTTGTAAAAACATTTATCAACCGCTATTACTCTTAACGCAGTGATTCAAGAGATAGGCAGCCCATAAAATCGAGAGCGACTCTGATATTCCGGCGTATATATTAAAATGTATAAAGGAGAAAGTAGAAACGTCGATTAATAAAATTTTATTTGGATTTACCACGACAAGAAAGGATCAGAAAAGAATCAGACAATTTTACGATGATCGTTCGTTCGAAAATTATTATATAAAACTGTCCGAAAACGAAAATTTTCCATTAGCCATGGCTTACATAGTTTGAAAAACGAATAACCTTCTCGGGTTATATATATAAATACCCGCTTATAACGCGTTGAGATAAATCACAAAGTAAAACGACGATTCTTTATTAAGATCTCTTATCGTTTGAAATAACGACTTTGTTTTAACTCGATTCAAGAATCACGTTAAAAGATAAAATATCGGTTTAAATACTTCTACTTAAAGAAATATCGAGGTTAATAGAGTAAAGGATTGTAATAAATAATACATGCGATTTAAGAGTGAACACACACACACACACACACACACACATGCGTGTAGTAGTATTTTTTAAATTAACCAATATTTAAGAATTAATTGTTAACGTGATTATTAATGAGCTTATAAATAATAAATAAGTATAACATGGATATATTTACCGCGCGCCGATATCGCCATACGACTCGTATCGTTACCACGCCGCAACTGCCGGAATTTCTCCTTCCAATATAAACACACTATCGCCCGAGGGCGTCGCTAAGAGACCACGCTCTTATCTATTTACAACGTAGAATTATTGAACGTGACTTTCGATTTTAAAAACACCTTCGCACCTTCTAATATTTTATCTCTATAATTTTAATATCCATACACTGTTATTATTCAACGTCTTATTGATCTCCTGAAAGAAAAAAGATATAAATAATTAGACAAATTTTTAAGACACTTCACATATGGATGTACGATCTAACGATCAATTCCATCGAAAAATATTTTCGATGCAAAAACCATTCGCATAAAGGGGGGGAGGGGGGAAAAAAAACCCTCCTTTTCGAAACTACAGAAAATCCCCCCGACGCGAAAAAAAACAAAAAGAAAGAAAGAGAGAAAGAAAGAAGTTGGACGCATCGAAAGAAAAACCTTCGATCTCCCGTTTGACGTGCACACACGATCGACCGTGACGAGGAGCGAAGAACGGTAACAGAGGTGAAGAGAAAAGGACGAGGCGGGCGAGGAGATGTGGTGGACAAGGTGGAGGAGCAAGATGGCCGCCCATCGAGCAAGGTGGTACGGGGAAAAGCTACGGACCTCCGCGTCGTTCGTCTCTCCTGTTAATTCCCACCGGTGTGTCCTTCGCCTTCCTTTCCCTCCCCTCTTTCCCCTCCCTCTTTCTCTTCTCTTTTCGAAACGCGCGCCTCGCCACAGGCCCCCTTCACGCGCATCCCCGGTGCGCACGCGCGTCCACCGCGTATATATAAAACCCTCTCCCCTTTCGAGACCGTCCCGATTCGCCATCATGCCACGTGATCGACCAGCATCCGACCGAGCTTCGAGTGTTTTGCCACCAAGGACTGGACTACCCAGAAAACCGTCGCAAAATCACCCATCTCTACGTTTATCGAATTACGATGCTCCACCGACTCGCCACCACCAACATTTCTTCCTTCGTCCTCTTGATTCCTTTTTTTTTCCCCCTTCTCCAACGTTCCTTCTCTCCTCCGTCCTCCTTCCTCGAATGTCGATCGCGTTCCACGCCGCATACGACGCATCCTCCACGTGGTTCTTCCGTTTCGGCCAAAGGGGAAGCTTGACCGATCGGAATCGGTCGAAAAAGATCGATTACGATGAGTCTGGTGAGAAAGAGAGCTCTTTCCCCCTTCCTCTCTTTCTCTCTCTTTCTCTCTCTCTTTCTGAGCAAGCTGAGAAATCAACGTGGTCGAGGATCTCTTAACGAGATCTCTCATTATCGAAACTTCTTTTGTCCTCCCCCCTTTCACTGGGCTTTCCTCCGTACACCATTTTATTTATTCCATGGAATGCGTGCACACACGTGCATGCACGCTCTGCCCCCGAGGAACAATTAATCCGCGTGATTATAATCATTTCATGAGCTCGAAATGGTGGAATATCGGTTTGGTGGACCGTTTAAGCGCGATATAAGGCTTCGAGTTTTTCGTCGAATTCGTTATTATACTATATAGAAGGGAGGGGGGCCAGAGTCGAATCGAGACTTTCTAGAGTATTCGATGAACTGACGTAATAAACGCTTTCGTATTTTCTTTTAGAAATGAAGTGAATGTATCGAAGTATTATCAGTTACGTAAGCGTTGCTTAAGTTTCTGAAACGGACGATGGAACAGAGATAGAAAGATGCGAGGTTGGAATGTGAGGTTATGGTACGCGATTGTATATACGCGGGTGCAGTTAGATTGTAGAGCTGGCACGTGATCGTTGTGGCGCATGGTTGCAATGCGCCGCGGTTTCATTGTGCCGCGTGTGCAACGCGACAATTCACAATTCCATATAATGGAATACATATTATCGGTGAAGTTAGATCAGAGTTATTATACATTTTTCTTGTTTTACCTTTCAGAAAATTCGGAATAACGATGGATTACTCGCACAAAGTATCACAGAGGGTGTCAGAAAAATACAAAACCGCAGGAAATTGATCTCGAATTTTTCTTAAGGAAAATTTAGTCGTTTTTTTTTTTTTTTTTTTTTTTTTTAGAATCTTTTTTATCGATAGAACAGAGATCCTGTCGCAATCGCTATAATCGAACACGATACTTTTCATCATAACTGTTCACACGACGATAGAAATACCTTTAATGATACGTAACTCCGTCTATCCATATTATTATTTTTCAATGTAAAAATAACGGAATAACGTTACAAAAATTTTGTAAAAAAGGAAAAAAATATTTACTACCGAATAAAATGTATGTATTCGTAAAAATAATTATAATCTTTCGTTAATACCCGTTATAACGTATGATAATTAGAAATTATGCCACCGATATACACGAATATAACTGAAATAATCCGGATATCGGTTGAAACATAAATAAATTCGCATAAATTCGCAAAGTGTGGATGGCGAGGGGAGGTTTGGCCGGCCTGAGGCGGATCGAGCAGCCACGATTTATCTAGGAACGCGATCGAGCACAGTTTTTGCCCTGGAAACGTACGTAGCTGCGCCTCGCCATCGGATACGCGTAATAATACCCTTTAACACGACTCAACCTAGGAATAATGTTGCAACCGCGGGAGGAACACGCGACTCTCCACGAGATAGGCATCGTCCCTGTTCAGACAACGAATAAGTGATTTCACGGCATTCGAGGAACGGCCGAAGAAAGCGAATTAAAGGGTCGAACGTGGATGAAGGGAGGGACCACGTTGGATCTCTTTTCCATTTCTGTCTTTTTTTCTCCTTCTTCTTTTTCTCGTTCTACCAATTCCCTTTCTTGTCTCTTTCTTTGCTTCTCCCTTTCGTTCCGCTTTTTCTTCCTTCTTGTCTTTTTTTAATTCTGCCGATTCTCTTTTCCCTTTCGTTCCGTTTCTCCTTTTTTTTTTTTTTTCTACCGATTCTGTTCTACCGATTGCAAGGGAGGAGATACAATTAGGACGATTGCGATCTATGTGATTGAACGGTCATTTCTTCGAATGAGTGGATGTTTGAACGTGATGTGTTTTTCCAATTTCTTTTTTTAGACTGTGTAAGTTATTGTATTATTATTATTATTATTATTATTTCTTTTTAAGTTTAATGAATTTTAACTTACGCAAGATTTATGACAATATGAATTATTTACGAGATCAGATAATTGAATTATTTACGAGATGAATGGAAATATTCGTATCTATTATTAAGTAATTGGACTTGTGTTATTATAATTACTCTAGAAATACTTTTATAGATTCGAGAAAAAATTAAATATTCTTCTAATGAGAAATTGTAATTTATAATTCGTTTTGCATTAATACAGTGGATTCAATTTTATTACTTCCTGCGATTATTAAATATCTATTAAACGGAATATTCATGAGATAAACTGGATAGAGTAAGTATAAGTATTTCCATTTATATTATGATTTAATTATTTAAAAAAAACAAGGATGTCAAAGGATGTCAAGAACTTGCAGTATCGATGAAAACTCGATAAACTTAATTATAAAGTAACTGTATTATAAAGTACTCCATTAAATTATATAACTATAAAAATATTAAAAAAAAATCTACACAAATAATTTCAAATTTTTTAAATCGCAAAATGATTGCAAGCAACTTATCCATTCGTTATAAATAAAAAATAAAACCATTGTTCGTCAACGATCCACGTCCTATTCATCTTCGATGCGAAGCACATATCTCACCACACCTCGTAAAACCGATCATTCGTTGATTAAACGAAGGGAAAAGAAGCGAGAAAAAAAATTCCAAGATTTAATGCCCTTAAGTGGGCACCCCATGAATCACTGGTCTCGATTCAGCGTTCTCCGATTTATCGGCCGAGCACAACGCGATGATCGATTCAAATTGTCCCGCGCAAAATTTTCCTACCAAAGATATTTCGTTGCATCCCCTCGATTGAAAAAAAAAAAAATAAAAAAAAGAAAGAAAAATCGAGATAAAAGAATAGAATTAAAAAAAAAAAAAAAAAAAAGGAACGAAGAAGTAATCTCGTTCTAATCCATTCGACCGATTTAATCGTTTTAATAGCCGTAACCGTTACACGATTAATGCTGGTTATCATGCATCGTAAAGGCAAATTTTCCATCGAGAGGACGTTTCATTAATAAAACGATGTTCCTCTCCTCGTAGATAAGACGACTCTTCTTTTTTTCCCTCTTTCTTTTCCCCTTTAATCATAAAGCTATCTAGTAGCAAACCTGTATAGATATAGATTGAGTTGGGTCGATAAGACTTCGAGAAAAAATATAAATAAAAATAAATAAAGTTACACACTGTTGATCGCGAATTCGACGTTTTCTGTCGATATTTCAATATCATGGCTGTCCCAAATATTATTCTTTTCTTTTATTTGCAATTGCAATTTTAATTAGTCCTCAAATATGATCATTGAAATCAATCTCGAGTATTTTTAAACGAGTCAAAATCATTTCGAAAAAAATAAAATAAACGAAAACTCCGAAGAGAGAGAGAGAAAGAGTACAGTGATAATATATACATATAAAAATATGATTACCATTATGAAAAATAAAATCATTGAAGTTCTGGAAAAAGAAAAAATACAGGAAATCCGTCAGTAGGAAAGAAAACGAGAAAAATATTTGGGACGATTTAATACCTCTCTGCAGAAGATATGACGAGAAATCGCATAAAACGACGAAATTATTCACCGTGATTAATTCCTTGCCGTGTTTCGTGCGTCACTTCCGCCACTCGAAAGCGCGATATCGCGAATTCGTTTCAAGCTTATTGGAATTAGACACCGATTAAACGTGGATTTTTAAAGTCGGAGTCGGTTTGTAATTGCACCGTTTATCGATAGCCGGAGAGAAACCACCTTGGAGAAACTCATTTAAATTCCATAGGATCCGACCGGGTTGATAGAACGTAACAGCCATTTCGTCATCGGTATCACACACGGGATACGAGATAATGGTAAACGAAGCATAGGATTATCTTTTATACACGATGTGACAGTTGAGAGGAAAAGAAAGTCTTCCAAGATTGATTCCGTGTTTAATTTCCATTTGAATTTTTAACAACACTCGAATATCGACATGCTCAAATACGCTCGTTCGATACGATTATCAAATTTAATTTCATAACGTCTCCCCACCGTTCATTACGATCGAAACAAATTGAAATTCCTAATCTTTCGATCGCTTGTCTCATTATTAAATTTCAATTCGAACTTTTGAAACGTT